GGATGGGGAGGGGGAGAGGGTTGCATGTGGAGCTTTGGGGGAGAGCGCGGGATCCCCTTGGGCTTCTTGGGCTCTCGGTGCCCAAAGTCTTCGTGGCAGATCGGATGCAGATGTTGCAGTGCGGCCTCGATTGCTCTTTCCTGAAGGTGAACCATTCAGCCAGCGCTCGGCGACCGTCGGCCTCGCCCTCAGCAGCCCTTCACAAGGGTTTCAGCCTGAAAGTTTGTGCTCCAGTGTTTAAGGTTACACTTCAGGATTCCTCGTTGTGGGATTTAGAGTTTGTTACGACTAACTGTTTGCGTGGTCTGTGAGGTCGGTCTCCCTTTTTCATGAGTACTCGAAAGACACAAGCTCCGAAAATGTGTTTTGTCAAGATGCTCCGGGTGAAGTTTACGTTACAACAGAGTCTCTAATCGTCTGCAAAAGCCCACACTCTGTTAGAAACCACCGATGATGTCAATTGTTGTTGACATGGGGATGAATTAACGGCTTGTTGATTGCAAAATTGCTGCTACTTGAAGAAACCTGTTGTTGCTATTGCCGTTGCTCGGTGGCTAGTGGTCCTACCATACTACAACGACTAGCTAGTTAGCTAGCTCAATTAGTACTGCTACAACCACCTCCTTGCTGCAACTAAATACTAGCTTGGGCAAGCAAACCTCGATGAAGCCGAGGTCATGCTGCCTTTTCTCACACTGCTCTCCTCTCGTCCAGCCCGGCTGCTGTCGGAACTGCCGGCGGATCGGATCAATGCTTCCGCCCTCCAATCGCTGACACAGGTGCGTTGTCGATATCCTCCGAGCGAGAAACGTACTGACAGGACTGCTATTCTAGTCTCTGCAGCAGTCGGAGTACTGGTAGCCTGTAGCCGCCAGCAGCAGCAGCAGCAGCACCACCACCACCACCAGGATTAGTAGAACGAGCAAGAGCACGAGCCGCGGCAGTAGTAGTACTCGTGCTGCGAGTAGTATTGGCAGAAGTGCGAGTGGAGTGGGAGGGTGGTAGTGATGGTAGCGATCGTGGTAGTACTAGTAGTAAGTTGGAGTTGGAGTGTGAGTAGGAGTGGGAGGAGGCGGAGGAGGAGGAGTAGTAGAAGGCGTAGGAGTATAGAGCAGGTGGAACTGGCAGCGGTTGAAATTTACGTTGGTCCACAGGCTCGAAGCGACGGATCCCTTGCACCGGCACTGTTGCAGAGGATGAGCGTGGTTGGCTCAGTCAGCTTCCAGCGGCAGGTGGAAAAGATGCAACGCAAGGGTGAGAAGTTGCGATGCATGCTCGTGACTCGTGACTGCTTGTGTTTCTCTAACACGGTTTCGAACGCCCGGTTGTGATCGCCTTTTCGTGCCTGGCCTAGGCTGGAAACCGTGGCAATGGTACCTGCTATTCGGGAGGCTTCTGGTGCTCTCGAAATGGGCCCATGACTGCGCCAGAGTTACGACTGTTCCGAGTAGCCCCTCGGCTTGTGTTTGAAAGGCAGTTTCTGTCTCAGTTGTTGTGCGAATCAGAAAGCAGGCAAGGAGAGATCTGCCACCAAGGCCACTGCAACTTTGATCCCAAATAGCCGAACTCAGCGAGGTTCCACCATGGAACATAAGACTTTGGTCTGGGAACCGTTTGCAAACGGAGACTTGTGAGTTTCACGCACAGTCCAACACAAACCCTCAAAGAAATAACGAAAGGAACGGGATCAAGTTTGGGCTCTCGAAGCCGCTTGTGCTCAAAGCCCCACGCTCCATCGTGCAGTTAGCTGGGGGCCATGGCAAGCTTGAAGGTGTATCGTGTGCATCCCTACGTTACGAATGGTGATGCGGACTTGCACCCCTCGAGCCCTAATGCAAGACTCTCGCTGCAAGACCACATCCTGAATGGCTCTAGGAAGAACTCGCAGTTTCTTTCCTGCTCACTTGGCCTCGTTGAGGTCTTATACTTCGCTTTTTACGGTGTGCAGAACATGATGGGCCTTATGGACAAAGAACTCTTGCTCATTGAGTTGCCCGAGGATGATCGTCATGTCACCGTCCATGATGTGTCTGACGGCGGAGCCAATCAAGGCCTGGTGAAAGTTGGGGAGTGATTCTTGCAAGTATGTATGTGCATGGAGGAACATTATGGAGCAAAGTTCAAGCTAAGAAAGTGTGTGGGACAACTGCGAGCAAGCTGTCACGCGTAGTAGCAATGTAGCAGAGCCGGAACAAAGCAATATCTTTAAAAAGTGCCTTTCTTGATTATCCTGGGTGCAGGTGTGGATGAGCCCAAGGCGAGAAATTTTGCACGCGCAGCACAAGAGGTTGTGATCAAAGGCTGCCTTCGAAAGGAGCTCATCATGAGGAAGATGCGCGTGGATCACGCTGTTAGCAGGCTTGGTTTGTCGGACGTTGACATTGACTATCTTGGCGCAGTGGCAACTCATGGCATGCGCATGTTCCAGCAGCGTTTGCGTGAAGTTGCAGGTGATCGTCTTGCCGATTTAGAGCAAGAAATGGAAAGCCTGGGTCGAAGCCGTGGTCCGCAAAGGAACAGCCTGTGAGGAGATGCTCAAGCTCAGATATCTACGTCTCTTTTGATTTCAATATCTGCTGCAAGAGCCGGTGGATGACCCATGATGACCTCTTTTAGCTGGAGTTTTTAACTAAGGTATCCCTGTTTGCTCGATCGAGGAGAGTGGCTGATTTCCTGCCAGCTGCAAAAACGTCTCCTTTGGGCTTATAGTAATTGTAACAGTAATAGTACTAGTACTGGTAATAGTCATTTCAGAGCCTGTCAAAGGCTCCAGCATAGTGGGACATGCTGCGAATCTCTGCTTGCCGGGACACTGGCAGCCGCCCATCTCGCAGAAGTCCCCAGCATTGACAGAGTGAGCAATAGTTTATATAGGTCTATATCTCTATATATATATATATACATATGTACATTTGTATATGTACGTATATATGAATACATGCATACATACATACCTACATACATACATACACCCACATACATACATACATACATACATACAGACAGACAGACCGACAGACAGACAGACAGGCATGCATGCAGTTAATGAGTTTCACGCACAGTCCAACACACACCCTCAAAGAAATAACGAAAGGAACAGAATCAAGTTTTGGCTCTCGAAGTCCCTTGTGCTCAAAGCCCCACGCTCCATCGTGCAGTTAGCTGGGGCTGCCATGGGCTTTGGCAAAGGCAAGGGCAAAGGGAAGGGAAAGGGGAAGGGCAAGAAGGGCTATGACATGAAGGGCAAGGGAAAGGCGGCGAGCGACTTCGACGTGGACTACGCATTCACCAAGGGCTTTGGCAAGAATTTCTGCAAGGGCAGCGACTTCAACAGCGACTTTGCCGTTACCAAGGGTTCTGGCAAGAACTTCGGCAAGGGCGGAGACTTCGCTGGGGACTATGCAGTCACCAACGGCTCTGGCAATCATTACGGCAAGGCCGCTGGCAAGATCAGAGGCGCGGATGCAGATGCTTAAAGACTTTCAGCTTCTCCCAGCGTAATCATTGCTGGCACAAAAAGTTTACTGCAAGGGGGTTTTCTCCAGGGTGCCGGCATGCCCAGTTCAGGTTCAATTTCTGCTTGTCGAGGATGCAGGCATGCCGAGTTCAGGGAGAATTTCTGTCGCCATTGGCAGGTCCAGATGAGCGATGTATTCAGGGGCCATGGGGTGGGAGCTCCGACCAGTCTTCTGCAGGGCGCTTCCACATCCCGCCTTCTGTGCTGGAGAATGGCAAGCAAGGCTCTTCGGAAGCATCCAGAATGGGCTTCGCAGCTTGAGTTTGATGGGCTCTTCAAAGCCGAATGAGCCGAGAATACCGTCGTTTTCCCTTCAGGGTGGGATGAGCATGGGTGAGGGTCAGGGGTTCAGCGGGTTTATTTGTATTTCTACAGGACACCAGCGGACGTACCCAAGGCGGATCCGGAGATGACTATGACAAGGAGAGCAAGGATATCACCCTTAAGCTGTTGGCAGTCTCGGGCGACTCGATCCCGGATGGCCCCGAGGACAAATCGCCAGTGAACCGCATCAACCCCGACCAGACGGTCGCACAAATCTGCTCCAGAATCCAAGCGGCTCTTGATCTGGAGCCCCTGACGCGTGTAGAACTCGTCTACGGCACCGAGAAGCTGCTAGACAACAGAACCATCTCTTCCTATAAAATCGCGGATGGAGACTCGCTGACCATTGTTCAGAGCAAGGTCGAGCCCCCAAAGCCTCCAATGATGTACTACTATGTCGCGATGCCTCAAGCTGCAGCTGCCCACCACCAAGCAATGGTTGCTTATCCGTCCCTCGGCGTGTTTCAGGACAGTTCTGGCGGTATTAAGCTTTCAAGACTTGGTAGCCTTTTCGTGTAATTTTTAATTTCTGCCGTGTGGGGGGATGTGCTGGGGAGGGCTTGATCAACAAACCGCAAAGTCGTTTTGGCCCTTGTTAGATGTAATGTATGTATGTATGTATGTATTCGTATGTATGCATGTATGTGTAGCCAAGCACTAACTAAGTCGCCCCCTGTAACAAGATTGAAGACCTGCCGGAAACCCAAACCCCACTCTAAACCCTAAACCCCCTAAATCCTCAACCCTGAACCCTGAACCCGAAACCCTAAACTAAAACCCTAAANNGGGGGGGGCAGGACGGTCATAAAAATAGGTTTGAATTTGTGAAAACTGAAAACTTTAAACACAAATCTCCCAAGCCTGAACCCCAAACTCAAAAAGCCTGTAACGTGTTTAATTGTAGAATCTTAAATTTAACTGAAAACGCCAGCCTCAACGTCCTTAGCCCAAAACTGCAAGAACCTAAACCTTGTAAACCCTAACCTTGGTAACCCATAACCCTAAATTCGAGCCCTAAACCCTAAGCCGTAT